AGAGAGAGAGAGAGAGAGAGAGAGAGAGAGAGAGAGAGAGAGAGAGAGAGAGAGAGAGAGAGAGAGAGAGAGAGAGAGAGAGAGAGAGTGGGACCTCGTTCTACCTCTTTTTCTTCGGGTTCTCCCCATCTAAGGGGCTCGTTAGACACTCCTTGGGGACGTGAAATCCACAAGGACGCGCTCGTTCCACCTGTCCTTGGGGATGAAATTGAAAAAGAAATGTGAAAACGCCACAAGGAAAATTCCTTGTGGCATCCTTGTGGCCCCAGCCATTTCTTCCTTGTGCCCAAGGGACCTCGTGAGGTCCCTTGGACACAAGGAATCCGCGTTGCACGGAGAGGAGAGTAGATAGACATTACAGCTGAGAATCTGCATCGTGGCGGCACCCTACTGGCTGAAGGCCTGAAGCACAACTGTTTTTTTTTTCTTTTTTCCTTTTGTTTCTGACATCAGGCTTAGGAAATGTCCTAGGGCGACGTCCCCGAGGACAGGTGGAACGAAGAGCCCAAATTCCCTTACGAGCCACAGGGAAAATTCCTTGTGGCTCAAGGAACTCGTAAGGAGTGTCTAATAAGGCCGTAACTCACTTTTGAAAAACGTGTGAGTGGAGGGGGGCTGCGGATGATGAGAACTAAGGGGCTCGTTAGACACTCCTCGGGCGCGTTAAGTCCCCGAGGAATTGTTCGTTCCACCTATCCTCGGGGAAGCAAAAGGAATCCACGTTTCACGGAGAGGAGTGGGCACATGGGTAGAGAGACGTTACAACCAGGAATCTGGATCGTGGCGGCACCCTATTGGCTGAAGGCCTCGAGCACATTTGATTTTTCTTTTTTCTTTTTTCTTTTCTGACATCGCTCGAAGGAAATGTCCGCGGGCGACATCCCCTGGGACAGGTGGAACGAACTTCAACAAAGGGCCCAAATTTCCTTTTGAACCAAAAGGAATTTTTCCTTTTGCCCAAGGATTTCAATAGGAGTGTCTAACGAGGCCCTAAGCCTCCTGACTCAGAAACGACAAAAAGAAAAAAATCACCCCTTTATGCCCCTACACCCCAGCCACCCCTGAACACCCCTCTCCTACAGCCATCAACACCCCTCCACTGCACTTATCCCCAACACCCGGCCTCCTATCCATGGAAATCTCTCTCTCTCTCTCTCTCTCTCTCTCTCTCTCTCTCTCTCTCTCTCTCTCTCTCTCTCTCACACACACACACACACACACACACACACAC